AACGCGCTACACATGTTGGGTATCGCCGCGCACGCCGGAGTGAGAGCAATAATCCTAGGGCCAGTATTTTGGGGTATTTCTAAATTGATGACCTGTGGGGGCTTTTAAAGTGTCTTTTATTGACTTTTTGGGGTACTGCAGTTTTTCGCCGTTTCACGGTCGCACGCAATCTGTAAACTGGGCATGTTGGGTATCATTTTACTCGTTGTAACCTCATCTTTTATATTTCATTTAAAAAATGGGTAATTTGTTGTGTTTTGGGGCATTTAATTAAATTTGTCACTAAATTTTGGGGTTTAATAAGGAGTTGCGCTAATATTGCGCAACATAAACATTTTCAACTACCACCATTTTATTCTATAGGGTCTTGGCATTCAGAAAATATATAATGTTGGGGGGTTTTTTCAGGCCTAAAATGTGGAATATAACATGGGTGCAAAAATTGAAAAAAGGGCCTCAGTCATGAAGGGGTTAAGAACTCAATATCCAGTAATATTCTGTGCATTTAGGAATACATCCAGATGTTTTTTTAAACAATTAACTGAGCTCTTTAGAAGTAGCTCCTGGGGGAGTCTATTCCACATTGTCACAGCTCTGACTGTGAAGAATCCTTTCCGTATGCAAAGGTTAAAACTCTTTTCCTCCACACGCAAAGAGTGCCCCCTTGTCCTTTGCAGTGACCTTAACGTGAATAATTTGGCACCAAGTTCACTATATGGACCATTTATGCATTTATACCTGGTGATCATGTCCCCCCTTAATCGCCTGTTCTCCAGAGAGAACACATTCAGATCAGTTCATCTCTCCTCAGTTCATCTCCCCCCCGAATATAGCTGAGCTCCTCCATGCCTCTTATGAGTTTAGTCCTTCGCTGCACTTTCTCCAGTTCCACAACATCCTTTTTGTGAACTGGTGCCCAAAACTGGACTGCATATTCCAGATGAGGTCTTACTAATGCTTTGTACTGGGGCAGGATTATGTCTCTCTATCTCTGGAGTCTAGACCCCGTATAATACGAGGAAGGATAGTGACAGATGAGGTCTTACTAATGCTGTGTACTGGGGCAGGATTGTGTCTCTATCTCTGCAGTCTAGAGACCCCGTATAATACAATAAAGTATTTTGCTTGCTTTAGAGACTGCGGCTTGACATTGCATGCTATTATTCAGTCTATGATCTACCAGAACACCCCGATCCTTCTCCATCATTGACTCCCCCAAACATACTCCCCCTAGAGTGTATGACGCATGCATGTTTTTAGTCCTCAAGTGCATACAAACATGGCAGCAAAGCAAAATGACTTTCAGGGGTCTAAGGTATCCGTACAGTCCCTTACAATAGGGATTAGTAGGGGTATACATTGGTATTCAGGTGAACAAGATAAGGGAATTTAACACTTCTCAATCCAAAGAAGAAGAAAAAAGGCAATAAATACACATTAAACATTCCCCACAAACAACGTTCTTTAGTCATCAGCCATTCCCAAAGGAAACCTGTCATCAGAGAAACATGTCAGCTGCCATTGCTGACCTCTCCTTCATTGAAGCCACAGACTGTCAGGCTCCCAGCATTATCAGGATAGAATATGGATAACAGTGCCATATTTTTCTTATGACAGGTTTTCTTCAAAGTCCTGTAATAGCTAACGAATTGATACAATGGTAATAATGTTACCGTCTCCTAAGATTCCAGCCAAAGCTTTTATTTTGATTCAGAGTAAGTTAGGTTTTTGTCTGTCTGCCTTCCAACGAGGGGGAGATTTCCTCTGACTTCCTCTGTGGCCACCATGATAAGTCAGAAGAAATCTCATTAAGAGAGACAGAAAAAACAGATGGAAGTAAAAAAAAAAACTGACCTAACCCATCCTTGGTCTGTCCAAAATCTAAAGTTCTAGCCGGAGCACCATTTTACAGCTTCAAAAGCACTTAAAGTATTGCTAAACTCCCAAACTCAGTCATCATGGTTCAGAACAGCTCCAACTCTCTCAGCACAGCTTCCCTGAACTTCCTGTCCAATATAAGATCACAATTGACAGCACAATCTCCAACAGCTATTCTTCTACTAGCTTGCAGTGGAATGGTTTGCCTTGCTGTGTCTGTGGAGACACAAACAGCACAAACACACAAGGGTGGTTACATAGAATCCTGCAAAGGAAAGGAGCCACCCTAAAACAGGATATCAGGGCCAGTGTTCAGGGACCAGCTGATTCTGCAGGAATCTAAAACGTTTAAACATCAAGGAGCGGGATCTACTGTAAGTGATTTAACCACCTTCCGTCCGGGTGATTGTAATTAAATGGCCAGAAGGCTCATTCATGATGCCGAGTGGGCGTTTTTCAAATGTCCATTGCCACCGCCACACTTGTGCGTTTACGTAGTTCACATTGTTTACAGCCAGCAATGGCTGTGGCATACAAGCGTTTGGACAGCTATAAAACTGCCCGATCGCTTGGATAGTTCCAGGGCGTGTGTGTGTCCCCCTGCTGCGCTGTCCTCTGTGCGGGCCCGCGACCAGCACAGCAGCTCCCTGTGGCTGGATCGGAGTGAGATCAGCAAACTTTTACCGGCTGATCTTCCCTCTGATCACTGGACCTGGAAGCGATGTGTATTACATCTCTTCCGATTTCAGTGTGTCATTTCTCCAGCACTCTGCTTCATCAGCTTCTTTGGGGTCCCTAAGTGACATTAGGGGTCTAATAGACCCCTGATGTCTCCATAAAGAGGACCTGTAACTGTGCAATCACATAGGGGGCTTGTTAGTCTCCTATGTGATAGCAAAAAAGTTGAGTGTAAAAAAAAAAAAATGAGTCACATATAGAAAAATACATAAAAAATATAAAAAAGCAATCTTTTTTTTTTTTTAAGTACCCTGCCCCCACATATACCCCCTTCCAAATGTAAATACGCGTCGGGTGCGCCTGAATGTGAAAACACGGCGCCATCCGTGTTGTCACTTCAAGTACCAACCTTTCAACAAGGTCTGTACGCTGTATGAAGTGCAGGTGATTTCGTGTTATTAAATGTGAAAACGATTGCACCGCACATGTAACATATCACTGCCATTGTCGGAGCGTGGGCAATAATTCTAGGGCCATTAACAACAGTTAACACGAAATTCAAAAGCGGTAAAACTTTTTAAAGCGTCTCCCATGGGCAATTTTGGGTATGGTCATTTTTTGCAATTTCACGAGAGCGTGCTTGGGCACGCAAGCTAAGGCTTGACACGTTTGGTGTCTATTTATCCACCGTGACCCCATCTTTTATATTTTCCAAAAAATGTCAAAGTACCTCATCGCTGAATACTGAAAAATGGCCGGGACAGGAAGGGGGGGGGGGGGGCACCCAGCGGTATACTGAGACGCCGTAGCGGATCCCGACTTAGACGTTTTGAGACTACCTGAGTAACGAATTGCCAAGCCATGGTGCCAAATGGCACTGTATACAGTAAGTACTTATCAACAATACTGGGTAGTCTTGGTAATTTTTGGCAACAGTTCAAGAGTGGTCGCAGAATGCAGAGTGATGGGGGAGCAAGGCTACACTTAAGTATAGGCACTGGAGGGTACTCAACAGATAGTAGGGAATGGTTTGCATTTTCTTTTTTACTAAAGGTGCACTTTAAAGGAGAACTACGGGGTCAGTGTTTTTCCTCATAGCTCTCCTTAGGGTAACGGGAGGACACAAACTAGCGTCCTCCCGTCACCCTAGGCTCAGTATATAGGGAGCTGCTGCTCGCGGTATACTGAGACGCCGCAGCCGGAGCGGATCCCGACATCGATGTCGAGATCCGCCCAGCTGCGTGAGTGACAGCTGGCTCCGCCTATCTAGAAGCAGAGCCAGCTGTACCCGCCCCCTCCCCCGTCCGTTCCGCCAGTCAGCGCTGGCGGATCGGAGCGGGGTCGGGGGAATCCAGCCCCTCCCCCTGTCACGGCAGAGAGCCGTGACAGGATCAAGAGGTGAGCGAACCCGGTATGTGTTCTCTCACCTCCCGATCTACTGAGCCGACCTGTGAAACTCTCATTGTCACAGGTCGGCCAGAACTATGAGGAGGAGTGAAAAGCACTCACCTCATAGTTTTCCTTTAATTAATATCACTTTAATTTTTAAAATCATGTTAAAAATGTTTAAACTATCAAAAAGAAAAAAACAATCCAACCTACTTCTTACTACACACCGGCCTACTCCTTTTGTTACATGTTAACTGAGTGTTTTTGGTGAGCTTGAAAAGGTTTCTGAGCACATTTCTGTGCTAAGGAAACACTTGCTGATAGTCTGGAAAGCGCTATAGGCATCTGTCGAGGGGTATATATTACTTAAGAAGAAAGTCTATGTATAAGGAACGTTCATGACATCACACATTAATCTTATTCATCTCTGACCCTCCACAGTTAAAAGATGCTGTTCACGGATCGGTAAAAGGAACATTCACCTCCCGTGCAACCCCCAAGACAGAAGAAAGTAACCAGGAGGGCTACACTCTGCAGCCCCTGGTCCATCTACCTTCAGAATACCAGGAAGAAGAAACTGTCACTGCTCCAAAAACATCAACCACGTGACACTTCCGCGTGGAGGACTGAACACACAACAACTGCACACATATCTCCCAAATGTGACAATACAAATGATGTTATACGGAAAGTGTTACTGTAAAATCATTTTATAATGTCCAGCCACAATCTGGTCATGTTAGGAAGCTTGGAGCATTTTCAACTAATCCCAACAACCAAGGCCAGACAGAGGGCACATGTCCCACCAATATTTCCAGTCAGAAAGGGTCACTATATGAATAAATGATATTTTGTATACTGTTAGGTCAATGCTGGACACATTTTTGTGGAATTCAGGAGTAAGTCAGCATAAGTAACAGCAGCTACCTTTAAATCAGAGCTATGTTCAGTTTAACTTTAACTTTTGTTCCCCATGGTCCCTGTGTGTGTTGTAAAGTAGTCACCGCTCTAAACTCGCTCCCGGGATGGACTACAATCTCAATACAAATGAGTAAACTAAACTTGAGATTGTAGTCCATCCTAGGGGGGGAGCTTGGAGCGGTGACTACTTTACAACACACACAGGGACCATGGGGAACAAGAGTAGCCCCCCTCCAGAAGGAAGGACAGCATCAGTGATTGGAGGATCTACAGCCGAGTGATACAAAAATAAGATACATTGTTGTTCATAGTTCAGGGACTGGGATGTATTTGTTAAGATTTATCTCCTGAGTTTAGTGTCACTGTAAAGTTATATTAACAGTCTTGCTAAAAAAATAAAGAGTAATAGAAGAATTGAAATACCATTCCCAAAGAAAAGGTTGCTCCAAGCTAGCTGCAGAGATGGGAGGCCTCTGATCATGTGATCTCTGTTGATGTTACGGCTCAGAGTTTAGTTTTGTTAAGCTTCCATTTGGTAAAAATGACATGATCCAGTACCTCCTGTGGCCAGCACTGAAGGGAGCCCCCAGCAGCATTTCCTAAAGTAAAGGTAAGTACTTCAGCCTCTGTAGTAGTCTTTATGTATCCAGCCCAGGAAGACTGCTAACAAAGCTTAATATCTTAGTATAAATCTACTTTAAAGGGGCATTTTTATAATTTTTTATTTTTTTAAGACATGCATGTAAAAGGAATCAGCGTAATGGAAATGTTTATTGGTTGTGTACATATTGTCTTTATTTATTATAGTTAGGACTTGAAAAAATAACAAGCTTTAGGCTCTGGTTCACATGGTAGCCTATATCTATCTACCTGTCTGTGAGAAATATCTGATGTTTATAGATAACCAGGGCTTGAAAAATCCACTTGTCTGTGACGAGAGGACGGCGGAGCCCGACGAGCAGCTCCGTGTAATTACAACGGCCGGCCGGGAGCTTTACATTCAAGCGATCGAGCGTCTCGAGAAGTCCGATCGCTTGTAATACCAGCAGCTGTCCCTGCCGTTGCCGGTCCCGAGATCCGCTGTGCCCGATGCGGCCGGGACCGGCACGGCTCTGTGACAGGAGATCAGTGCACGATCTCCCTTTGATCTCCTCTCAGTCCCGGAATGCAGAAAGTGATGTATATTACATCACTTCCTGCATTCAGTGTCACTCTCCAGCTACAGAAGCTGATGAAGCAGAACTCTGCTTCATCAGCTTCTCTGGGTGTCCCTAGATGACATTCGGGCTCTTGGAGACCACTGATGTCTTCATAAAGATGACCTGTCATGTAAATTGGCTATCACATAGGGGGCTTCTTAGCCCCCCATGTGATAGCAATAAAGTTGTGTAAAAAAAAAAAGTAATACAAAAATTTAAGAATCCTAAAAAAAAAATAAAGAAGAAAAGAAAAAAAAAATGTTTAAGTCCTCCGCCCCCCCACATACACATGCAGATATGCGTCGGGTGTGCCTACGTGCGAAAACAACGATTGCGCCTATTATGCCGCACATGTTACATATAACCGCAAACGTCGGAGTGTGAGCAATAATTTTAGGGCCAATAATTACTGATAACACTAAACTGATGAGCGGTAAAAGCGTTGCAAGCGTCGCCTATGGCCAATTTTCAGTGTGGTCGTTTTTTGCGCATGCAATTTTAAGGCTTGACATGTTTGGTGTCTATTTACCCGACGTGACCCCGACTTTTATGTTTTACCAAAAATATGGGTAAGAATAGATGATTTCTAACATAACGTAGGGAAACTTTTTTTTTAAAAAAAATTTACTGTACTTTTTATCCCTAACATTTTTCCAGCCCCGTATATAATAGTTGTGAAATTTACAAACGGGACTCATCCCTAATCTGAGGTGTCAATGAGTTCCTCTGCCTGAAAGGAGACAATTCTTTCTGTGTTGTCTCTATAGATAACTCTTGGAATCTTTTATAATGTATTAAATGTTTATTTGTAAAGCAAAGATTGGATGCATACAGTAAAAAAGGATATTGAGTAACAGTATGTATATATGTATAAACTGAAATAAAATTCATCCAAAAACCAGATTAGTTACACTTTAATGTAAGTGATCAGTGTGTGTTAATATCTTGCTCTATGTATAGTTTGTATGTGGAAGATGTATTTGTTCAGCACACATGTGTAAGCTATGATCTCTCTTCTGTAGTCATGTTCTACTCTCGTGTTCCTCTCTCTCAGTGCGAGTCTACCAGTCAGACCAGACTGAAAGCAATCCACTCTCTGTATGGCTAAGTTGTGTCTCATCAACCGGTGGGAGGCCAAATTATGACCTTTGGAAGAGGGGTTTTCTCAAATTTGACTGCAAAAGTGGAAGGACAGTTTAAGGCTCACCACACACGTTACAATCTGTCCATACAATCTCTGTACAATCAACTTTAAATTGGCCAAAACTGTATAAGGCCCCATTCACACTGAGCGATTCGCAAATCGCACGTTTGTCGTGCGATTTGCATTTTGCGCGATATCGCGCGGTTTGACGTGCGATAGCGCGCAAATGGTTGCATTGAGCAAACTAAAATCGCGGCAAAATCCGCTCCAAAAAGGGTCCTGCTGTAGCGACGCACGACCCGCGACAGCGACGGACAGAGCCCCATTGCCATGCATTGGAGAGCGATATCGCGCTGTAAATACCCGCGATATCGCGTGGTAAATCGCTCAGTGTGAATGGGGCCTTATATGAGGACCTACCTAATGTAGCTCATCAATCTGTATCCAGTCACCCAGGCCCTCGCATTACATCATTGCTTTTAGGTCTAAAGGACATTGTTCAGTCAGATTGTAATGTGTGCGTAGTGAGACCAACGCTGGCCATATACTGATCTATTTTTTTTGTTCAACCCGCGGGCTGGATGGAAAAAATAGACACGGTTCCTCCATCAACACTAACAGCGTGTCGATCGAGGAATCCCGCTGTTTACATACAGCGGCTGCCGACACCTGTCAGAATACCCGACCAGAGCGAGCGGCTCTGATCGATCAAAGATTTTCCTCTGATCAGCTGATCAAGGGATGCCGATCAAAAGGCTGCTGACAGCAGCACACACTGTGCGGATTTCGACCGGTACGAAATTAGAACAGTGTATGGACACCTTTAGGCCCTCTCTCAGATGCATTCTGGGAAGCCCAACTGCCAAAAATAACACTGAAATTCTAACCTTGGGACATCCAAATTCGGGAGATTTGGTCCAAATCTATCGGGACCTGAGTACGATAACTTGAAGAGTGGGCACTGGAAATCAACTTTGTTTCTTTTTAAGGGGAACCTCCCATTAAAACCTTGAAACAGTTACATATAATTAGGGTGCATACCATTGTGATGCTTAACCACTTCAGTGCCACAGCCCTTCTCTCATTTATTTGCACACATGATAAAATGCACAATTTAGGCCTGATGATTAATGAACCCCTCCCCCTCCAGAATGATATGTTTCCAGAAAGCAGAGACCCTGAAGAAAGAAAAGTTGGAAGCTGCAATTTAATATGTTGCACGATATTAGCGCATTTAGTTAAAAAATACAGTAAAGTTCATTTTAGTTCACACAAACACAGTACAATACCCAACTTTTCAGTACAATAGAAAAGATGAGGTTGCTCCAAGTCAATAGATACCAAACATGTCAAGCCCTAAACCTGCGTGCTCCCGTGAAACGGCGACCAACTTCCAGATGCAAAATTGTCCACATGTGACGCTTTTAACCACTTCAAGACCAGGTGTTTAGACCCCCTTCCTGGCCAGGCCATTTTTCAGTATTCAGCGCTGCGGTACTTTGACTGACGTTTATTCCGTCATGCAACGCTGTACTGAAATGAATTTTATACCATTTTTTGGGGACAGATAGAGCTTTATTTCGGTGGTATTTAATCACCACTGGGGTTTTTATTTTTTACTATAATTAGGAAAAATTACAGAAAACCCTTGCTACCAACCCCTGATCACCTCGCAGATGAACCCTTGCTCTGCCGTCACCAGACTTTAGACCTAGAACAGCTGAGACAATTGTTTCAGGTGTCCCAATCTCTCAGTGCTGTCATCATGTTTACAGTCAATATTCAAAGAAGAGGAAGTTGGTGACACAAATATGCATTCACTAAATGCCAAGATCACATTCCATATTATGCTAACAAAAATTACAAGGCCATAGCTATAAAACTGAAGCGAATCAAACATCTTAACCACTTCCCGTCCGGCCGTCATTGTAATTAAACGGCCGGATGGGACACTCCTGAATTTGGGGGG